CTGGTTGAGTAGACTATTGGCGAATTCAAGGGTAGATAGCATTACACCAATTGCTCTAAAGTGTGATAATCTTGCAAGTATACATATAGCAAACAATCCAATTTTTCACGAAAGGACAAAGCTTATTGAACTGGATTGCTATTATGTAAGAGAACAGTTGCAGCAGCCAGAGTCATTGAAGTTGAATTTACACCAACAAAATCACAACTTGTAGATGTGTTTACCAAGTCTGTGTCAGGGCCTAAACATTCTGATATAATAAGCAAGCTGGGATTAGTTGATCAACCAGCAGCTTGAAGGAGGGTATTAGAGTTGTTATTATTCCAATTCGTTTGTTATCTTAGTCGGTATATTAGTTAGACTAATTTTGTACACGTATGCTGTGATTTAGTCTATGTATATATTGAGTTGTTGCTTTTAAATAAGTCATACAGAAATTCCCCAATCTCTCTTTACTTTCTCCGTACTTCCAATTTCTCTCTACTCTCGTTTTATTAAAATCCCTCCATGAAATCCAAATCCCTAAAAAACCAATCATGCAAACCAAACCGACCCTTATTGGAAGCGACCTTCATTCTTTGTCACTTAATTGCACTTATAGTGAACTTGAATCTGATTTTTTTCCAACAGTTTCCTTTTAATTTTATCTTCCCTTATTTACTTTATGTCAGCACAAGATGAGTTTAAAGGATTATGCTTTGAATTTGGAATCAAGCTCGATGATGTGGTAAGTGTTTGTTTGCCTTAATCCTTTTGTATGTATGCAAAATGTGTGTGTGTGTGTGTATATATATTAAACGAGGAACCTGAGATGATCAGGTGGCAACACTATAATCAAGCAAGAGCTTCCTTCCATTGAGGTTTAGAATAGAAGGAATTCTTTTTTGAAGAGGCACGTTTGATTCAAAGGCGGATTGAGGCGTTCATGGACCGATTTCCCCTAGATATCTAAGATCCATGGAAGAAGCAGCATCCATCATCGAGTGGCTACGGGGCTTTTGCGTTCAGTAACTTCACTGGTGACAGAAGAGAAGGAACATGAGGTTAGAATTGTGGGTCTCAACGACATGGCCGCATATATATATATAAATACTTTTATCTTGTATGTTTTCTGGGTTTTTATATGTTTGTGTTCTTTTACAGAGAGGATATTTTGATAGCATGGCAGCATCGGAGCAGCCCTCATCGAGAGGCCTTCTGGCACAATATGTTTCATGTTTTATTGTCTTCCCAGTTCCCATGAGAAGGAGACAATGCAAGAATAACGTAAGCCCGTTACTTGATGCTGTTAAATCTTTCAGACTTCCATACTTCCCTAATGTAAAGCAAATTCCAGTTCAATATAAATTTGTTGGCCGTAAGGTTTCTTTGCCTATGTGTTCTTCGTCTTTTTGGATTTATTTATTGTTTACGTAATTTAGGACAATGAATAGAGCTTCGTTTCAAATCTTACAGTGGAATTGAAAGGCACTGACTTGCTACTTCAGTTTGGCTCATTCACATATTGGTTTTGTTTTGGTTCATATATGTGTGTGTCGAATGTATGGAGTTGGTATATTTTAAAAGGATATATACATATGTTGCTTTTATGTCTTAAAAGAGACGTGATGGACATATGATACGCAACAAAGGCTGAAACTCTTGCTACCAAAAAAAAAACTCATTGCATACGAGCTTCAACAGCTATATACTGTATTGAAAACAAAAACGAAAGAGATTGCCAAATCACGCAAATATTGTATTGAAGAAAACTAACTTAAAAACTCCAATTGATTCTCTCTTATTTTGGAACCTATCTATGAATCTATATATATATATATATATATATATATATATATATATACTAACCATGTACGTATTAGCATAAAACTAGGACTCCTTTTAATTTAAACTAGATAATTATTTATATACCCCTATATCTTAGGAATAGATAATTATCACATTTAAGATAAACTTGGACTGCACTCCAACTCATCTTTTGTTCAACCCGATCCACGCCTAAGCCATAATCRGGACTCAGATAATTCCGCCAACAATCACCCCCCGAATTTCTGAGTCGAGGAGGTCAACTCTTGCACACCAAGTAATGATCTCATCTCCATGAATCTTATACGAGCCAAGGCCTTCGTTAACGGGTCTGCCCTCTGTTTGTCTCCGGATACATGTTCGACTACTACCTGCTCATTTTCAACACACTCTCGAATAAAATGATATCGAGTTTGGATGTGTTTGCTTCTACCATGGAAGACTGGGTTCTTTGACAACGCAATTGCCGATTTATTATCAACATGGATCAGCACCTTCTGTTTCTCCAACCCTGTCAACTCTGCCAATAACTCCCTTAGCCAAATTGCTTGATATGCAGCTGCAGTAGCTGCCATGAATTCAGCTTCACACGAAGATAATGCCACGGTAGCCTGCTTTTGTGAGCACCATGTGATAGGTGTCGCACCAAGATAGAAAACATGACCCGTAGTACTTCGTCCATCATCTATGTCAACATTATGACTGTTATCGCTATATCCCACCAGTTTCATGTCGTTGTCTCGCTCGTATTTTATTCCGAACGAGGTTGTACCTTTGAGATAGCGAAGGATTTGCTTAATGGCTCGTGCATGTGATTCTCTAGTGCTTTGCATATATCGACTAACTACCCCAACCGAGTATGTTAAATCTGGACGAGTATGTAAGAGGTAACGTAAGCAACCCACTAATTTTCGATACTGAGTAGCTTCAACTTCCGGTTCTTTTTCGGCTTTCGACAACTTGAGTCCCGGTTCCATTGGACATAAAGTTGGATTGCAATCTTCCATTCCTGCTTCTTTTAAGATTTTATTGGCAAGGCTTTCTTGCTTGATCTTCACACGGCCCTTTTCTTGAGAGACTTCGATACCCAAGTAGTAAGTTAATTCACCAAGATCCGACATTTCGAACTGAGACGCCATCTTTATCTTGAACTGATTTATGAGCTCTAGGCATGTTCCTGTCACGAATAAGTCATCCACATAAACCGCAACAATGATAAATTTTCCATTGAGCACCTTTTTGTAAACTGCCTTTTCTTGCAAGCATTGTTGAAAACCTATTCTTTAGAATATTGTCGAGCTTTATGTTCCATGCCCTTGGAGCTTGTCTTAGGCCATATAAAGCTTTTGTCAACTTGTAAACTTTTCCTTCCTCTCCCGGTTTTTCAAAACCCTCAGGTTGGGTAACGTAGACTTCTTCTTTTAATTCACTGTGCAGGAAGGCCATTTTGATGTCTAAGTGATGAATCTTCCATCCTTTCCCGGCTACGAGAGTAATCAGGAGTCGTATTGTCTCGAGTCGAGCTACTGGCGCGAATACTTCATCAAAATCAATACCGGGTTGTTGAACATAGCCTTTAGCAACTAAGTGCGCTTTATATTTATTAATCGAACCATCTGCGTTTCTTTTAACTTTAAACAACCACTCTAACCCGATGGGTTTAACTTCTTTGGGTAGAGAAACAAGCTTCCAAGTATTATTCTTCTCGATGGAATCAATCTCGGCTTTCATAGCTTTGAGCCATTTCGGTTTCACTTTGGCTTCATCGAAATTCCTCGGTTCCTCGTCAAATATTAACAAGAGTTCGTTAACATTCAACTCATAATCATTTAATCTTTTCGGTACCACAGAAGTACGAGTTGAGCGACGTACCGGGATAGGCGTAGCATCGTTGTCAGTTTCATCATGTTGTGGGCTGTTTTTGTGGCTAGGGCTATTGATTGCATGTTCCGGGCTTCCTCCTTGGCCGGTTGTGGGCTAATTTGGGCCTGTTACATTGTTGCAATGCTGATCGGTTTCATCAGCTTGTCTATCACCCCATATAACCGTGAAAGTGTCTGGTTCATTTACTGCTTGGCTTGAGTTTTCAAACATATTTCTCCACTTCCAGCCTCTTTTCTCATCACAGATTGCATAGGCACTTATGATGATTTTATTTTCACGCGGATTGAAAAGGCGAAATCCTCCCGAATTGGGTTCCTTACCGAGATACACCAATGGTTTAGACCTATCATCGAGTTTCTTCAAGTTCTTCGAAACTATTCTTTCATAGGCAACGCAACCAAATACTCTTAAATCTTCAAGGTCCGGTTTTTTACCATAAAATTTCTCGTATGGCGTAACTCCTACCAATGCTCGCGTAGGGGTTCGGTTTATTATAAATGTCGCATGTCGAACCGCTTCACCTCAAAAATAATTTGGTACACTCCTAGCTTTCATGAGGCACCGAGCCATTTCGAGTAGAGTTCGGTTTCTCCGTTCGACTATATCGTTTTGTTGAGGTGCATAAGGAGCCGTCAACATTCGTGCTATACCTTCTTCGTCACAAAAACGGTTGAATGCATGTGATGTAAATTCACCACCTCTATCTGTGTGAAATGTTTTAATCCTTTTTCCTGTTCGCTTTTCAATCGCCGTCTTGAATTTTTTAATTACACCAATTGCGTCACTTTTATGCTTCAAGAGAAAAGACCACATGTATCTTGAAAAATCGTCGATAAGAGCCAAGATATAAATATTACCTGCTGGAGTGGGGGGATCCACTGGTCCGCAAATATCCCCGTGAACCATTTCAAGAATGTACGTTGCTCTGTATGTTGCTTTCTTCGGGAACGAGCGCTTAGTTTGTTTCCCAACCATGCAAGATTCACAAACTTGATCTTGATGCTTAATTATCGGTACCCCTTTAGCTAACTTGTGCATCAATTTCACCGCACCAAAATAGATGTGGCCAAGTCGAGCGTGCCATAACCAYGACTCTTCATTAATGTTAGCTTGTAAACAGTARGGCTTCCCAACTTTTAGTCGGGTCTTATAAAGAYGATTTGCACTTCGTGGGACTTTCATAAGCAATCTTCCATCTCTATCTCGCATGGTTAAGAAGTCTCCTTGGAGACGAATATCACAACCGAATATTGTAGCTTGTCCGAGACTAATCACATTACTTCGTAGAGATGGAATGTAATAAATATCTGTCAATAATTTTTGTTCGCCGTTTTTTTTTCGAACAAAATCGAGCCCTTTCCTTTTATGCTTACGCACGACCCGCCTCCGAATCTCACTCGACCGGTTATACGTTCATTTAATTCAGAGAAGTACGAGTAGTTACCGGTCATATGATTACTTGCACCGTTGTCCAAGTACCATATATCGTCTTCCTTGGTGTTGGACTTGATCTTTGGCGGGATGTACTGTTCTTCATTAATAAATATCGTTTCTTGAACAAGGTTCATCATGTAAAATGCTCCTTCCTCATGATTCGCATCTCCCTCTTGCGTCTCATGAAGGTTTGGCTCATGGTCTCGAGGTCGATCTGGACATCTTGAAACAAAGTGTCCGTACTTGTCGCAACGGTAACACTTGATATTTGAGAGGTCACGTTGCTCATGTTGTTTACCCTTTTGTTTTTTATCTTCACGGTTTTTCGAGAAGTCGCATTGGCCATTATTTTGGGTGTTACCCCGACCACGGCCTTGACCACGACCACGACCACGACCTCGAGAGTTCGAGCCACGTCCTCTACCCCTGTTTGGGTAATTTTCAGCCTTAGTAAAAAGCAATTTTCCTTGTACCTCATTTGCCTTATCTTCTTCTTTGATCCTTTCTTCATAAGCTTTCAATCTTCCGACCACATCCTCGAACCTAATTGTTTTAAGATCTAGAACCTGTTCGAGAGCTGCTACAATATGGATAAATCGCCTGGGAAGACTTGTGAGAAATTTCTTTACCAGCTTGTGTTTCGACATAATTTCTCCAAGCATGGCTGCTTTAGAAGCAATGCCCGATAGCTTTGCTGCATAGTCGTCTATGGTACCGGTATCTTGCATCTTTAAGTTTTCAAATTCAGTAGTTAAGGTCTGTAGTCTTGCTTCCTTTACGCGTTCAGCCCCTAGGTTACGTATTTTTATTGCTTCCCACATCTCCTTCCCGGTTTTAAAATTGCCGATTTGAAGGATCAAGTCTTCCGGTATCGATTGAAATAGTAAGGCCTTCACAATATTGTTTTTCTTGGCATCGTCTGAGCCCGGATCTATCACCTCCYAGACTCCATGAATTCCAAGAATCACTTCCATTCGTATCTTCCATATGGTATAATTGGTTGATGTTAATAGTGGACATTGAAACRTCAACGGGTTTGGTTCCTTTGCCACCGGCTGTGACACCGGACCCCCTGTCATCTTAGACTTCTTCCTGGTACGTGAATAAGTCTTTGATGGGGATTTATTCAGCCCTTATTTCACGGCTAGAAGGTTGGTTTCGGTTTGTGTTGARCTCGCGTAGGCCGATCAACGGTTTCCCGGATTGTGCCTACTACGCTCAACTTGGCTTGAATGAATTGGGATTAATTCAGAACCAGTCGTAGATCAAGGTACCACAATCAATCGCTGTTGTTTTCTGATCGTCTTGCTCACGATCGAAATTAATCACCGGAATTGTTGCCGGTGTTGATCTCAATAGCTCTGATACCAATTATTGTATTGAAAACAAAAACGAAAGAGATTGCCAAATCACGCAAATATTGTATTGAAGAAAACTAACTTAAGAACTCCAATTGATATACCAAATATTGTATTGAAGAAAACTAACTTAAAAACTCCAATTGATTCTCTCTTATTTTTGGAACCTATCTATGAATCTATATATATGTATACTAACCATGTACGTATTAGCATAAAACTAGGACTCCTTTTAATTTAAACTAGATAATTATCTATATACCCCTATATCTTAGGAATAGATAATTATCACATTTAAGATAAACTTGGACTGCACTCCAACTCATCTTTTGTTCAACCCGATCCACGCCTAAGCCATAATCGGGACTCAGATAATTCCGCCAACACTATATTCCTCCAATGAAGTTGTTAACAGAAAGTTTTGAGTTCTTAGATGATGATCGCGCCATAAAGTATTCTTCGTGTTCAAATTTAAATTTGCATGGTTGATTTTTACATCAGCTATTATGGGGCCTAACAGAGATCATTGTTCAGCTCATTTGGTTTCATAAGTTTCAGTTATTGAATCAAATGCAACATGCATCAGAGGTTACTGTTGAAAAACTTAATTTTGGTAAGTTTTTAGGATGCTGTACAACTCACCAAACTCAAAGTACAAGTGGTTAATGCATGAGGTTAAAATTAATATCAACCACATATTAATTTTAAGGCCCTGTTTGTTTTTCTTAAAAAATCACTTAATTGCCTCTTAAGTCTGACCGATTCAGACCTAGAGGAATTAAGTGCGTTTGTTTTTTTTTTTTTTTTGAATTAAGTGCTTAATTCATCTGATTAGGTCTGATTTATTTAGAGGTAAAACATAGTCTGAATTCCTCTTAACGCCTCCATCTCCCTACGCAGTACGCTCCGGCCCTCTCATCTCTCTCTCGCCTTCGCCTACGCAGTACGCTCCGGCCCTCTCCATCTCTCTCTCGCCTTCGCCTACGCAGTACACGCTCCCTCTCCATCTTTCTCTCGCCTTCGCCCCTCTCCATCTCGATACTCGCCTGCGTAACAGGATTGCTCTCGATTGCTCTCCATCGCTGCACCTACCGTCTAACAGGGCCATCTCTCGATTTAAGGTATTTTGATTCGATCTCTCAAGCTCTCGATTTTGTTTGTCCTTGCTTGGTTGATTTCTGTTTTCCTCTATTGTGAAGGTAATCGCATCACCCACATCAATTAGGGCTAACCTAATCTAAAACAGGCAGACATTGTTAACCCTTCTGTTAAAATTATAGTGGTTTTGAATGATACCACTTATGCAAGTCTTCAAGACTATATAGTGTATTTGGTATTATTATTAGGTTTGGATTTACCTATATAGCAACTGTAAGCCGAAAGCATCAGGGAGTCCATTCATAGGATTGATGAAATACATGAAAATGCCCCTTTTTAGTGCATCATAATGAAGCTTATGGGTGATCTAGGCAAGTTGAATTACCATTTTTTATTTTATTTAAGAGGATCACCTGAACTTCATCTTTTCAACGTTCTACTTGTAATTTAAAGTTGTAGTCAGTGTGTGAATGTGGCATATATCCTAGGTTTTTTTGTTTCTCACAACAATTATCATATAAGCTATMTTTCTGCATGAATGAAGTTTGCCCTCCTACAAAGTAACCTGACTAATTTGGATGGATTCATATTAGATTATGTTCCCAATTTTGTTGTTGTATTATATAAGCTGCCATAAGAATATAGAACATTTGATCCATATAGAACATGTAAAAGTTTTATCTTTTCTGCTTCATTTTAGTCATGGATGAGAATGTGCGTGTGAAGTGGACAAACGAACTTACCAAACGGTTTCTAGAGA